GGAGACCTAAACAAACATGGCAACTCTTGACAGTGGGTGACCTAAACACTCATGACAACTCCTGACAGTGGGTGACCTAAACATTTATGGCAACTTAGTTATATGCAGTGGGATGATGTTAATGCACCACTGTGTATGAAGGGCAATATAGAGAAATATTTTACTAGGTGTGTAAGTGTTGACATGAACCAGTCAGAAGGTTTGGTTCTTTTATCTCATCTCCTTATGACTCTCATTCCCTGTTGAGCCTCCATCATTCTCTCTACTATTTATTTTCTTTATTTCATTGTTTCTGTACATCGTTGATCCACAGAACAGGGAGAGAAGGATATTGATAAATGGAGAAGAAAGGAATAAATAAGGTTTAATGGAGGAGAGAGAGGAATAAAGATGATAAACAGTGAGTGTTATTTTTGTATTACGAAGACCAAGAAATATTTTTACTCCACAATAATGTCGTTTTGATGCTGCTTTCAATATTTATTTATTTATTTTTGTTTTTCATTTTTGTCGACTCTTGCCTCCAACTGCCACAAGCCTTCATGGACTTCCATTGCTTTTGGCAACCCCCCGCTACCGCAGGTCTCTTGAGGGCACACCAGGGACGCCCTTGCTCGTTCAGGTGTCCCAAACTCACTCTCAGGGGACTTCCTACGTGTTCTGGGGGCGCCGAGGCAAAGAAGACTCATCTACCCGTCTGTAACTGAGGGGGACACTGTGTTTCTGTGATGACTGTGGTGTAATACTATACTGGCAGAGTGATGTGGTTTGGTCTCCAGTTACTTAAGGTCACATATTCGATCCCCAGCCTTTTTGGGGTCATTGTGGTGTAGTGTTTTTGTTGTTGTAAATAGTGGATTAGTGGCCTGTGTTACTCTGCAGTCACGTGGGTTCACTGGTTTAATTATTTTTGTTTATCGTGGCCTGGTATCGTAAATCGTGGCACAGTGAGCTTACCTGTACTTGTGGGAATTTCTGGAATATTTCCTAGTAATCTGGAACCAAAAACAACAAGTATTAATATGTATAGGGATTTGAAATTTTAATCATAGAAATTAGGAATCTTAAGTAGCATGTAGGAATATTTGTTTTGGAAAATGAAATGTTATTCACAGCAACTGAGACTCTAACACAGCAAATTAGACTTTATTGTAAGAATTTGGAAATTAGTCACAAGAAGTTGGACTCTTCAGTGCCAAGTATGAATACTTCGTAGGAAGTTGTAGCAAGTTGGAGTCTTAGGAAGGTAATCCTTGTGTAGCCTCCAACCTGTCCTTCACAAACTATGCGTGGACATATTCCCACAAGCTCACTTATTGTTAGTGTGGGTTATCTTAGGTTGGATTAGATAAGATTAGATTCATCGTAGATACGTTAGGCTAAGCCAATCGGTAAGCAAGGCTAGGTTAAGTTGGGCTAATCTAGGTTGCTTGAAGTTTGACAAATATAGATAAGGTTGGGTTAGGTTAGGTTCAATAGGGTTCTGCTCTCCAATGTTGTAAATACCAGCTGTTGTTGTTTACGCCGTAGTTCCCTCAGGTATATCTGTATCTTTATTCTTTATCTGTGTCGGGGAGGTGAGGGTCGAGGGGAGAGAGGGGACAGGTCACCAGCTTGGACGGATCGTAAACTTTGCAGGTCGTGTAGGGAAACACATACACCTGACGACCCGTTAACGGCGCTACGGATACAGCACACTAAGCAACCACTGTGGCCGACACTGCACTCGACCGCCTTCATTTCCTCAGCTGTAAAGTTAGGTCCTGCGACCATTAAGGACATGAAGATAAGGCTTTATCCACTCAGCCACCAGAGATATGTTGTAATTTTTGGAAGTGGGTTTCGTGTTAAAATATTTTTTAAAAGTAATGCATTACGTCTTCAGAAAACACTTAACGCCGTGGATCAAACGGACGCACAGGAGTAGCAAGCCGGCTACCCCATTACCCTATTGCAGTCATATGAGAACGAGAATAGGGCTACCGCAGACGGTGTAACCGACGAGCCTCCAGTTCACAGACAACTATGCCATGTGGTCAGCAAAGAAGAAGACTTACTAGAATAGGCACAGTGAATGTAAGAACGTGGCTTCAACCTGGAAAAATGAGTTGTACGTACTAACAACTTCAAATGGGATATACAGTAATAGGAGTGGTCGAGACCCACTGGCCACTAGGAGAACTAACACAAGGCGACGTTAAGATCTTATATTCAGGTAGAAGAGATGAGGTAAATACAGAGAGAAGGAGTAGCAGTCATACTGAACAAGGAAGCACAACAATCTTACACGGAACATAAGGCATCACATCCAAATATATGCCCCGGAGTCAGAACATTCAGATGAAGAAGTAGGAGAAGAGGTTGACAACACAAGTGACAGTGATATCCTCAGAGTAAGGGGTCACTTTAACAGTAAAATAAGGTCAGACAACAGAGGCTATGAATATGTGATGGGAAATTTAGAACAGGAACAATGTGTGGAAGAGGTGAAAGACTACTCGAGTTCTGTCAACAAAAGCAATTATTCTTCACTAATACTAATTTATATCATAGAGAATCACACAGATATACTTGGACTCATCCAAACGAAACACAAGAATTGTATACTGTAGATTACGTCCCAACACAAAGGTAACGAGAAGTGCTGATCTTGGAACCGACCATGAACTGATACTTCCAACATTAGAGTCAAATTTAAGAGAACAAACAACAACCTGATAGTCTCAACACGCTACAATACCGACCGACTAAAAGGTCAACAAGTAAAAGAGGAGTTGGGGTAGATTCTAACTCTTCAATTCAATTTCAATTTCAATTGTTTATTCCTTGATAGAGGAAGCGGGATCCTAGTGCTGTCACTAGGTACCCCTGTACAATGACACCAGAATCATCTGGCAAGTGTGAAAAGTATATACAGTATAAATATTATAAAGGGGCTTACTAAAGCCTAAGGAAGGAAGGATGTTCCTTTAACACATAATTAATATTATTTACAAAATATCTGGCCAGTATTGGGAGGATCATCGTGTCTCCGTCAGGGGGTCGTGGAGTGGTGGTCCAGCAGGCGTCACGGAAGCGTTGTGTGTGGGGACATCTTAGGAGGTAGTGAATAAGGGTGCGGCTGTCGGGTCTTCTGCATAACGCACAAGAGCGTTGCTCAGGGGATGTGGGGATACCAATCTCCCAAGCAAAGTCATACCCAATGATGATACGGGCAGCAATCACGTCCCCCTTCCGCGACCCTTTCCCGTAGACGTACGAGAAGTCAGGAAGTTTACGGAGGACATCGTACCATGTGGGCGGGGAGTCCAGGGGGATGGCTGCTTCCCGAGCTTCTCTCTGTTTGCGGCGGATTTGGGTCCTAATCTGTAAGAGTGTTCGAGGAACAACGTAGTCAGGTGTGGCCTTGTTGCAGCCAGTCTTGGCAAGGTCATCTGCTGCCTCATTCCCCAAGATACCGACATGACTAGGTATCCATAGGAATGTCACAGGACGGCCTTCATCCTGACTAACTCTTCTACGAGATTTGGAGAAAAGGAAGAGACCTCGTTCAGGAAGACGAGGAAGCATTGCTCGGGAAAAGGAGAAGAATGAGACAAAGGTGGATAATAGAAGAAGTGTTACAGAAATGTGACAGAAGGAGAAAAGCGAAAAGGAACGAAAATATAGAACCAAGCTAAGAAAACATACAAAGTTACAGTGCTGCAGGGAAGTGGAGACACAGCTTGTATGAAAGCGAAAGTAAGGTGGATAGAAGAGCTCTGCGAAAGATGTGAAAATAACTACAGTACAGGCAACTCAGCAGTCTTGTACAGAACTGGCGTGAAAGGACAGACTTGGCAAGAGACAGACAAGGCTGGCAACAATATAGACGCATCAGAAGGGACCCAACCTGGAACCCTCCAGGTGGTACTTGCGTCAAGTCAGCAAGTCAAGTCGATGTGCTGCTCTTTTCCCCGTGTTTGACCACTGACTCCGGGGAAATTACCCGCCCAGAGAATTGGCGGAAAACACCGTGTTAGAGGCTGAAGGCTGCTGCTTGTTTACACTTGATTCTCTTTTGTTTTGGTTAAATCGGTGTCGGTGGAGGAAGACGAGAAGCACATGACCGCGCAACTTCCTCACTTTACAGCGAGTTTCCTTCAAGTTGGTCTTCTTCCTGTGTCTATACTATACGATCGTTTGAGGACAAAAACTCTTACTTTGAACAGTTTGAACCTGAAATAGACAAAATTAAATCTTTGGTTGCCATATTGAAAGAACTTTATATGTTTCTTTCTGATTGGTTAATCTATTTGGCCAACAAGTTGAAGGTTTTCGGATGGTTGCGTCTGATAGGCTATTTTTTTCCACCCGTAATCCAAAACTCTTTATGATTGGTCGGTCTGTGTCATAACCCTCCCCCAAACTGTACAGCTCCACGTCAACCAATGTTTGGGAATTTAATTTACCGGGTTGTTTGTGTATTGTCTTAATTATTGTAATAACAATAATAATATATAATTGAAGTTAATTGCTCTATGGCGCTGTGTCGTTATTGTATTGATTTAATGTATTTGTTTAAATGAAAAATATCGAGGGTGGACCCGTTGTGGTTATTGATCTTTATAAATCAATAACAATATAACGTTTGCTTCTGTTATTTCCATTTCTGTTGTTAATGAAATCATATCGTTGTTACTCAGTTTATTTTGTGTGAGTATTATTGTACGTGGATCTTGATATAACGTTTGGTGTATATTGTATTGCTCAGTATTTTGAATATTAGTACACACACACACACACACACACACACACACACACACTCACACACACACAAACTTTTCCAATAAACCGTATTATTATTATTATTATTATTATTATTATTATTATTATTATTATTATTATTATTATTATTATATTAATAACAAACTCACCATCAACAATATCCTTTAACATGAAACCTGACAACCTCTGTGGCTGCCTCATAACCACCACCTCTCTCTCTCCCCCACCCACAGGTTCCTGAGTGTCAAGAAATGGCTACTGAGGAAGAAGCACCAGATCGAGCTAGCGAGGAAGCGCGGGTGGAAGGGTTACTGGGTGTGCTTGAAGGGCACCACGCTGCTCTTCTACCCGTGTGACTCGCGGGAAGGACGCTCGGTCGAGGCCGCTCCTAAACACCTGATCATTGTAGACGGCGCCATTATGCAGCCTATCCCGGAGCACCCCAAGAGGGACTACATCTTCTGCCTGTCTACTGCCTTCGGGGACGCTTATCTCTTCCAGGTGAGTTGTGGAGTAAACAGCCTCTCAAGGTTATTAGTTACTGCTGGACTACTCTACCTTGTTACGCACTTACAATAGTTGTTGAAATGTAGAAATAACATTATAATGACATTTTCTATATTTACTTGTCTACAATATGCGTTTAAACACCTTAGTTGTTGAAGATTATACCAGAAGCTGTCAAGTAAAGCCAAGACTATCCAAGATGACTTTAACAACGTGTGTGTGTGTGTATGTGTATGTATGCGTGTGTATGTTTCTGTGTGTGTGTATGTTTCTGTGTGTATGTGTGTGTGTGTTTTTCTGTGTTTGTTTCTGTGTACGTGTTTCTGTATGTGTGTGTTTGTGCGTAAGTTTCTGTGTACATGTTTCTGTTTGTGTATTTATGTGTGTGTGTGAGAGAGATAAAAAGGAAGTTGAAATGCCTTGTAAAACTAAATAAAAGGCAATTAAGACTCCTCCCGTCCCTCCCCTCCCCCTCCCATCATATCCCCCCCCCATCCCTCCCCTCCCCCTCCCATCACATCCCCTCCCATCCCTCCCCTCCCCATCACATCCCTCCCATCCCTCCCCTCCCCCTCCCATCCCTCCCCTCCCCATCCCTCCCATCCCTCCCTCCCATCATATCCCCACTCCATCCCTCCTCCCTCCCATCCCATCCCCTCCCCTCCCCTCCCCCACCCTTGCTTCTCCATTGCTTCATTTGACTCCTTTCATCCAGGTAAGATGAGAGGCGAAAGAGTTAATTACAGGTGGAAAGAGTTTTAGGGGAATATTAAATGATGTCTGGGATTTTATGCGTTAAAAAAATTGAAGTAGAGGTTAGGTTAGGTTAGGTTAGGTTAGGTTAGGTTAGGTTAGGTAGAGGTTGTGTCAGGCTAGGGGTTAGGTTAGGCTGAGGTTGAAGAAGAAGAAGGTTAGGCTAGGTTAGGCTAGGAAGAAATAGGTAGAGGTTAGGTTAGGTTAGTAGAGGCTAGGTTAGGTTGTGTTAGGTTAGGTAGAGGTCTGGGATTTATGCTAAAAAATTGGAAGTAGAGGTTAGAAGTAGGTTAGGTTAGGTTAGGTAGAGGCTAGGTTAGGGGTTAGGTTAGGTTAGGTTAGGTTGAAGCAGGTTGTGGCTAGGTAGAAGAAGCCAGGGTTAGGCCAGGGTTGTGCCAGTTAGGTAGAGGTTAGGTTAGGTTAGGTTAGGTAGAGGTTAGGTTAGGTTAGGTTACGTTTATCCTGTTGTTTGTTTGTTGTTGAGGAGGATCTGTTTAAGTTTCTCCAGGTGAGGTGAGGGTTGGTGGAGAGGTTAATTACAAGTAGATAGACATAGTAGTCTTAGGAGAGAAGTGAAGTTAAAAGAGACTGTGTGTGTGTGTGTGTGTGTGTGTGTGTGTCTTGTACACTCCATCTTTGTACACAAACTTTGCTCTTAAGTGGAAGAAGAGAGTTAATCATAGGTAGTGAGAGAGGAGAGAGAGAGAGAACACAGGTAGGAGAGGAGAGAGAGAGAGTTAATCACAGGTAGTGAGAGGAGAGAGAGAGAGAGAGAGTTAATCAAGGTGAGTGAGGAGAGAGAGAGCAATCACAGGTAGTGAGAGGAGAGAGAGAGAGAGTTAATCATAGGTAGTGAGAGGAGAGAGAGAGAGTTAATCACAGGTAGTGAGAGGAGAGAGAGAGTTAATCACAGGTAGTGAGAGGAGAGAGAGAGTTAATCACAGGTAGTGAGAGAGAGAGAGAGAGAGAGCACAGGTAGTGAGAGAGAGAGAGAGAGCAAGCAGGCAGTGAGGAGGAGAGAGAGAGTTAATCACAGGTAGTGAGAGGAGAGAGAGAGAGAGAGTTAATCAAGCAGGTGAGAGGAGAGAGAGAGAGAGAGAGAGAGAGTTAATCATGCAGAGAGGAGAGAGAGAGAGAGAGAGAGAGAGAGAGAGAGAGAGTAATCACAGGTAGTGAGAGGAGAGAGAGAGAGAGAGAGTTAATCACAGGTAGGAGAGGAGAGAGAGAGAGAGTTAATCACAGGTAGTGAGAGGAGAGAGAGAGAGAGAGAGAGAGAGAGAGAGAGAGAGAGAGAGAGAGAGAGAGAGAGCACTCACAGGTAGTGAGAGGAGAGAGAGAGAGAGAGAGAGAGTTGTCGAGTGAGAGGAGAGAGAGAGAGAGAGAGAGAGAGAGAGAGAGAGAGAGTTAATCACAGGTAGTGAAGGAGAGAGAGAGGTAATCACAGGTAGTGAGGAGGAGAGAGAGAGAGAGTTAATCACAGGTAGTGAGAGAGGAGAGAGAGAGAGCACAAGCAGGTAGTGAGAGGAGAGAGAGAGTAATCACAGGTAGTGAGAGGAGAGAGAGAGTTAATCACAGGCAGGAGAAGAGAGAGAGAGAGCAATGACAGGTAGTGAGAGGAGAGAGAGAGAGTTAATCATAGGGAGAGGAGAGAGAGAGTTAACTTGTAGTGAGAGAGAGAGAGAATCACAGGTAGGAGAGGAGAGAGAGCAATCACAGGTAGTGAGAGGAGAGAGAGAGTGTAATCACAGGTAGTGAGAGGAGAGAGAGAGAGAGAGAGAGAGTTAATCACAGGTAGTGAGAGGAGAGAGAGAGTTAATCACAGGTAGTGAGAGGAGAGAGAGAGGAGTTAATCACAGAGTGAGAGGAGAGAGAGAGAGCAATCACAGGTGGTGAGAGGAGAGAGAGAGAGTTAATCACAGGTAGTGAGAGGAGAGAGAGAGAGTTAATCACAGGTAGTGAGAGGAGAGAGAGAGAGTTAATCACAGGTAGTGAGAGGAGAGAGAGAGAAAATCACAGGTAGTGAGAGGAGAGAGAGAAAGAATCAGGGCAGTGAGAGAGGAGAGAGAGAGTTAACTCAGGTAGAGGAGAGAGAGTTAATCACAGGTAGTGAGAGAGGAGAGAGAGAGAGTTAATGCGTAGTGAGGAGGAGAGAGAGCAATCACAGGGAGAGGAGAGAGAGAGAAGTTAATCACAGGTAGTGAGAGAGAGAGAGAGCATCACAGGTAGTGAGAGGAGAGAGAGAGAGCACTTGCGGTAGTGAGAGGAGAGAGAGAGCAATCACAGGTAGTGAGAGGAGAGAGAGAGAGAGAGTTAATTGCAGGTAGTGAGAGGAGAGAGAGAGAGAGCAATTATAGTGTGAGAGGAGAGAGAGAGCAATCACGGGTAGTGAGAGGAGAGAGAGAGAGAGAAAGCACTATAGGTAGTGAGAGGAGAGAGAGAGAGCACTCACAGGTAGAGAGAGGAGAGAGAGAGAGCACTCACAGGTAGTGAGAGAGGAGAGAGAGAGAGTTAATTGCAGGTAGTGAGAGGAGAGAGAGGAGTTAATCACAGGTAGTGAGAGGAGAGAGAGAGAGCACTGGTAGAAAGAGAGGAGAGAGTAATTACAGGTAGTGAGAGAGGAGAGAGAGAGAGAGCAATCAGGTGGTGAGAGGAGAGAGAGCACTGCAGGTAGTGAGAGGAGAGAGAGAGAGTAATTGGCAGGTAGTGGAGAGGAGAGAGAGAGAGAGAGAGAATTACAGGTAGTGAGAGGAGAGGAGAGAGAGAGCACTTTGTAGTAGAGAGAGAGAGAGAGTTACCAGGTAGTGAGAGGAGAGAGAGAAAGCAACACAGGGAGAGGAGAGAGAGAGAGAGAGAGCACTTCACAGGTAGTGAGAGGAGAGAGAGAGAGTTAATCATAGGTGAGAGGAGAGAGAGAGTAATTGTAGGTAGTGAGAGGAGAGAGAGAGTAATCACAGGTAGTGAGAAGAGAGAGAGAGAGAGTAAGTAGGTGGTGTGAGAGGAGAGAGAGAGAGAGCACTCGGTAGGTAGAGAGGAGAGAGAGAGCACTTACAGGTAGAGAGGAGAGAGAGAGTTAACTGCTGGAGGTGGTGAGAGGAGAGGGAGAAGCAATGCAGGTAGTGAGAGGAGAGAGAGAGTTAATCACAGGTAGTGAGAGGAGAGAGAGATAATCACAGGTAGAGAGAGGAGAGAGAGAGTAATCACAGGTAGTGAGAGGAGAGAGAGAGAAAGAATCACAGGTAGAGAGAGGAGAGAGAGAGCAACGCCAGGTAGTGAGAGGAGAGAGAGAGCTAATAAGGTAGTGGTGCGGAGAGAGAGAAAGAATTGCAGGTGGAGAGGGGAGAGAGAGAGAGAGTTAATCACAGGTAGTGAGAGGAGAGAGAGAGAGCAATCACAGGTAGTGAGAGGAGAGAGAGAGCACTGCAGGTAGGAGAGGAGAGAGAGAGAGAGAGTTAACTGCAGGTAGTGAGAGGAGAGAGAGAGAGAGTTAACAAGCAGGTGAGAGGAGAGAGAGAGAGTTAATCACAGGTAGTGAGAGGAGAGAGAGAGAGAGAGAGAGAGCTAACATAGGTAGTGAGAGGAGAGAGAGAGAGAGCAATCACAGGTAGTGAGAGGAGAGAGAGAGCACTGCTGAGGGGAGAGGGAGAGAGAGAGAGAAAGCACTTGTAGGGAGAGAGAGAGAGAGAGGTTAATTGCAGGTAGGTGAGAGAGAGAGAGAGCACTCATAGGTAGTAGGGAGAGGAGAGAGAGAGAAAGCACTCACAGGTAGAGAGAGAGAGAGAGTAATCACAGGTAGAGAGGAGAGAGAGAGAGAGAGAGAGAAAGCACTGCAGGTAGTGAGAGGAGAGAGAGAGAGAGAGAGAGTTAATCACAGGTAGTGAGAGAGGGAGAGAGAGAGAGGAGATCACAGGTAGTGAGAGGAGAGAGAGAGAGAATCAAGGGAAGTGAGAGGAGAGAGAGAGCACTGGCAGGTAGGGGAGAGGAGAGAGAGAGCACTGCAGGTAGAGAGGAGAGAGAGAGAGAGAAAGCAATCATAGTGAGAGAGAGAGAGAGAGAGAGGATCACAGGTAGTGAGAGGAGAGAGAGGAGAAATTGCCAGTGTAGTGAGAGGAGAGAGAGAAAGCATCACAGGTAGTGAGAGGAGAGAGAGAGTAATCATAGGTGAGAGGAGAGAGAGAGTTAATGCAGGTAGTGGAGGAGAGAGAGAGAGAAAGTAATCATAGGTAGTGAGAGGAGAGGAGAGA